GGCCAGACCCCCGCGCCCCCCCCTTCCAGGCTGGGTCCCTCCGCGTCCTACCCGTGCAGACTGGGACCTGCCATGTCACCCCATCCAGGCTGGCACCTCCCACGCTTCGCCATCGAGTCTGGACACCCCCAACCCCTCCATGTTCTCCCACCTGCCTCCGAACCTCTTGGGTGGGAACCCCTATGTCCTTCCCATCCAGATTGGGACACACTTGGAACACCTATCCAGGGTGAGGCGGCAAGAAGGGGGTTCAGTTGGTGCCAGAGCTGGCGAGGGTGATGTGGGCTCAGCCACATCAAATCCCCCCTCAGCCAGCTGGAGAGGGATTTGGGTATGAGGGGGTCAGTTGAGGGGGCATTGGGGGTACCCTCCAAGCCTTTGTCCCACCTTTTGCACTTTCCTTGCTTTGCATTGAGCTGAGCTCCAGTCATCTCTCTGCGTTTGGGGATGTGGATGGAGATGGCAGAGGGGGTGCTTTACCCCGTGCCTCAGTTTCCCCAGCTGTCTGTGGGTGGGCAACGTGCCTGGTTTAGGGTACCATATCCCTACAGCCCCTCCCCTAGGTGCAGCTCTCCCTGTACCTCACCTAAACCCCATTTAGTGCTACCATTTTTGACACTTGTGGAGGGGTTTCCTACTGTTTGTTTTCCCAGTTGTGTTCCTGAAGCAGGTCCTGCAGCTCGTAGGGCTGTCAGTGCCTGGTGCAGGGACAGAGCACGTGGGGCCCTGAGGTGGGTAGGAGGGAGCACCCAGACAGGTTCTCTGCTCTCTCATACCTCACTTTTCTCCTGACTGAACCATCCCCAGCGCTGATATCTCCCCTGGGCACCGAGAGCCTTCCCTGTGTCAGTGGCAGCACCAGCCTCCTATAAGCAACCACTGCCCAAGGCCGGTCTCCCCCCACTTCACTGCAGCAGGCACTGGGGGAAGGCGGGAGGAGGTCAGGAGTCACTCCGCGGGGACACAGGAGCCACATCCAGCTAACTCCCTTCATGCTGGAGTTCCTGTTGTTTGGATCGGCAGTGAAAAACAGGAGATCAAAACAAAGCCAAGCCAGACTGGGAGTCCCTTTGCCTTGCTATTTATTCCAGCATAACCTAATTAAAGCAACAGGAAATATGCTTTCCCACAGTGGCTGGACATCTTTAAAAAGAAACAGCACAAATAAAAGCTCTGTGGGCCAGGTGAAAGAGGAGACAAGGGCAGCAGAGGCCAGGCTCCACAGCCTGAGGCACTGGGACGGATCTGCCCCAGGTATCTGTGTACCTGTCCACTTGCTGAGATGCCTCGCTGAGATGCTGACTGCTCTCACGGGGGCACTGGGGCATCTGGGGGTCCGTCTGAGATCTCCCAGGACAGGAGCTGCCACCCTGCTGTGCATCTCCCTCGGCACTCCGAAGAGTATCCCCGGGGTCTGGCCCCTCCACACAGAACGTCAGGAGCCCACTCATCACCCTGGGGGTGGGGTCTGTGCTGCCTTATTTGACAGGGCTGGAAGACAATCACAAATGCAACTGCCGATCTTTGCTTTTCCAGCGCTGGCTGGACCTCTGCGGAACACGTGAAGTGCTCTGAAAAAGAGCACTGGCAAGGCAGGGTGGGTGCAGCAAATGACAGGGCTGAAGGAGTATTTCAAATACTTTATTTAAAAAAAATTCCCAGTTAAAAACACATCGGCCATGCCTTTCTCTGAGTAAGAGGCAGAGCCTGTGCCCCAGGCCCCGGCTGGCCCTCGGCACTGTTCCCCAGCTGGGCAGCGCAGAGGCTGTGCTCCTGCCAGGAAGGCAAAGTGGTGCTGGGCTCCAGCTGGGGAGTGTTCACAGCTCTGAGCAGGCCCTCTCTTAAAAAACATTTAAAACCAGTTGGGAGAATAAACTCTGCAGTGTTGAAAAAGGAAAGAGAAAGGAGCAAGGGAGGCTCTGCCAGCACTGGAAGACTGTGGCTGGAGGGCCCACACTCCTGCCTGAGGAGAGCCACGATGTTCATGATGCACAGCAGCTTTTCTTCTTTAAGGAGGAAAAAATCAACCAACCAACAGTAATTTCTTCCAAATTTTCCCTGCAGCCAGAAATTTCACCAGTTGCTCACATAAACACGCCATCCTCACCATAGGAAATGCTCTTGCAGAAACCTGAGCCTTCTTTCTCTGCTAAACAACGTGCTTCAGATTCCCTGCAAATAAAGGGAGGCAGAAAAGGGTATTTGCACTGATATTTCAGCCTGATGGAGTGGCCCGGCCAGGGGCAGGGGTCCCCTCCCTACGTCTGACAGACTGGGCAGCGATACAGGAATTCCAGCCTCAGCGCAGACCCCGGTCCCTGCTGCCTCTCGCTCCCTTCACTGAGGCTGCTGCCCTCCTCTGGGCCAGACTTCAGGAACTACCAAGGGGAGATCCTGCCACCACTTCTGCTACAAGTTTCTCCTGCAGGTTCAGGATTCATGGGCCAGCACCAGAGGGGTGCACACTCACGCCCAGCTGCCTTGTCCTTCCTCTGGGCTGGCTGCACTGCCGGGAGTGCACAGCATAGATCCCTTCCTTCCAGCCCTAGAGCAATGCTGTTCCTCCTCCCCTCCTGGACAGGTCAGGGGGATATCCCCTCCCTAGGACTGGCCTGTGCTTGGGGATGGACACCTCAAGGCATCCACTGCCATTGTATCTCCCACCCACCTCCTCCTACTCTGTGTCTTAACACCAACACATCACAACATCCACAGAGAGTGAAAAGGGCTACTGAGCCCTGTCTTCCTGCCCCCAGCTCCTCCTGGGGACAGGGACAAGACAAATGGGCAATGGCATCGAACAAGGCTGGCAGAAGCTGGCAGGGCTCACCCAGCTGCCTGCCCTGGACTCTTAATAGCTTTCAGTCTCCTGCCTGGCTAGAGGACTGTCCCAGTTCCTGAGGAAATGCATGGAGATCAGGTGGGGAACCATCTTCCTTTGCCCTCAGGCAAACCCCAGCCCTGCACACAGCTCTCAGAGGAGCAAGGCTGCTCTGGCTCCACCCCAAGGGCCGATGGAGGGATGCCAGTACGGTGGGAGCCAGCCCCAGGGATGCTACACACGGTCCTGCCAAAGGCAGACTAGGGTCTCTTGTTAGGCCTGAAATAAGAGAGTAGCTGGGGCTTTGCAGGACTCCGGGCATACCACTTGGCAGCCAACCCTCTGTTCTGGAGCAGCTAAAGTGAGCCTGCAGGCTGGGCTGGCAGTCCCTGTCCTCTCCCTGCCGCTTCCCCACCCACAACTTCCCTTTAGACAAGGTGTTTCACATCTGTCCTGGTTTGGCTAAAACAGGACCATTTCTCCTTTCAGTAGATTTTCCTTTAGTTAAGTTTCTTCTAAGTAACCACGCTCTCTGAAGTTGACTACATGCTTTTCAGAGTCTGCTTTTAGAGCTGATGGAGCTTGATATCTGTAGTTGTTGCCGGGGTAGAAGTGGGATTGTTCTGCAGAAAGGCCCATGTGGGTGCTTGTTCCTATGGGACCCAGAGTCACTGTGGGCTCTCATGTGGTCTGCAGGTGCAGGGGTGGAAAAGGGTCACACCTGCAGGAAGCTGTGGCCAGGACAGGTGACCAAGGACTGACCAGTGAAGTATTCCATCCCACCCACCTGGATACTCGGTATAAAGCTCAGGGATCACGGGGGTCAGCTCTCTTTGCTTCACAGTCGCATCCCTGTGGGACTCTGGTCTCACTCTCCTGCCTCTGACCCCGGCCCATGCATTCCTGAATCTGATTTCTGTCTGCTGCAGAGCCCAGTGTGGGACATTCGGGTCCCTGCCTTGCTGCGTGAGCACTGCAAGCTGGTGCAGTGTGGCAAGCGGTCCCGCAGTCATAGTCAGGTTTTGTATAAATATTGGGTTTGTGTATTTTTGTTTCTGGTATTAGTAGTATTAGTATCAATATTATTTCTACTCTTTTTCATTGTTATTGTTTTGTCTAAGTAGTTTTAACTGTCCAACCCCTAAGTCTCTCTCCCTTTTCTCCTCTCCTTCCCCGTCTGGGGTTAATAGAGAGCACCTGCCACCTGCTTTAAGCACCGGACCAGCCCTAAACGGTGGCAACATCCCCAGCAGATGATGAAGACCTTCCCTGCCTCAGCCCTTCCCTGCCGGGCGGGGGGGGGGCTGGATACTCCGCACTCATACTAACTGCTCCGCACGGCAGCCAGGTCCACGGTTGCTGGGGCAGGACGGGATGGAAAGCCCAGCCACCACCAGCACAGCCAAGCGGGCAGCAAAGCAACGCTAGGAGTCAACAGTCAAGAGCAGGAGCCAGAGCTCTGCCGCTGTCAGTCTGTCCAGCACCCTGCCCCGCACCCAGCAGCTCTGTTCCCCCAGCGCTGGCAGTGCCACATTCTCCTGTGCAGCCCAGGGTAGGGGCTGCAGTTCTGCCTTGCTCCATCTGTCACTGTTTCACTGCTGAGGGGGATGGACCTCGCTTGCTCCTGCTACCTCCAGCACTGCCTCTGGAAAAATCAGTCCTGGAAAGCACTGGGGTCTTGGACCAGCCTCTCTGGTGGCTGGGGAGGGAGGAACGGGGTCTCTCCACTCTCCCCTCTGTCCCAGGCATGAGTTTTCCTCTCAGCAGGTGGTGCGACAGAGGGAATCCCACTATCCAGCACTCTAGCTTCCTGCTCCGTTTCAGCCACATGTCACACTGGCTGGGAAGCCTTTGGGTGCTCACCCACAGGTCTGGATCGGCTCGGGAGGCAACCTGGCTACCGCAGGGGAAAACACAGCGTGGCCTGGGACCAGCTGAGCACTGAGTGCAGGGCAGACCAAGCCTGGGGTCTCAGACCCCTTCCTGAGCAGACGAGCAGCCTGTCTGGGGCATAGACCACACTCATGTCAGCTGGTCCCCAAGCACACATCTGACTCCTTTGAGATGTACTGTCGGGAAGACAAAGACATCTGGGATCCACCTGTCTCCCATCCTTCCCTACAAATCCATGGTTATTAAATCCACTTCCTTCCACAAGCATGGAAGCCTTCCTAAGCACAAAACACACGTTCCCATCAGATCCAGCACTTGCAGCAGCAGTGGCATTGCAGTTCCTTCAGAAACACTCTCAGTTCCCAGGGGAAGTGGCTGTGAGCTGAGCTGGAAGTGTCACTCAATGGTGCAGAGGTGACATCCAGGCAGAGCACAGCCTGCAGTGCCCTGCTCCCTCTCCCCTCCCTGCTCCCAATGCTGGGGGATCCTGGTACTTCTCCTAAGTCTGATGTTGAAGAACGGACACTGAGGAGGGCATGAATTTTGAAACCTTCCTGCTCCTGAGACAGTCTGATGAGATCTGACAGCAGAAGAGAGGGGTTCTAGTTAAGCTGCCATTGCCTTGGGACCCCATAAATCAAACATGTATAGGGAAGAAGAGGGTTTATAACTGCCTCATGCTCCACATAGCACTTTGATGGATGACAGCAAAGAGAAGGACTGGTTTTTTGTGACATGACAAAGAAGGAAACAAAAATCATGATGTGTAGGAGAGAAAAGGAGCAGGGGAGCTGTATGTAATAAAACGCAGCAGTTGCAATCAGGTAGTGGAGCAAGCATTCCCAAAGAAGTGTTTCAACAGATCCACACTGAAGTCACTCATCTCCAAAGGACAGGCACAGACCAGTCCTGCAGGTTTGCACCTCCTCCCAGGCAGCAGTCCCTCACACAGGCTTGGGGACAACTGCCCGAACATGATACAGGTGGGGCTGATACTGTACCATGTTACTAGCCCACTTCAGCAAGCATGGAGTCTAGTCACTTGCCTTTTATCCATCTCTCTGTAAGACACTGTAAGACATGACTGTTTTCTGAGTTGCTTCCTCTGAGTTGAAGCACCCATGCTCTCTTGGGAACAAAGGACGGGAACTGCTCCAGGGCAAAGCACTGCCTCAGAGAAAAGACTTGTGCCAGGGATGTTTTTGTGTTGCAGGGTTCACGAACTGACAAGCTCCAGCCAAACTTGGATGCAGGAGGAGGATGTGAGCTTACAGTATAAACATGCAGAACCTGGACTTTTGATGAAACAAATGGTGATTTAAACCAGAGAGGCAGAGGAAGGTAAAATACTCTGTCAGGCTTGTAACGGGTGAGGCAGTGTATGCATGGGAAGTGGTAGCTAACCAAGCTGTGGTAACGCGACTGTCAGCAACTGGGAAGCACTAGGAGTCAAAACTGGGTTGGGGAACTGGAAAGGCTGGGGAACTCAAAAGCTAGCCATGGTGCAGGGGAAGGGCCAAATATGTCAGCTTTTCTCTCCTGAACTCAGACACAGTGGTATGAAAGGGAATGAAAACCATGCATCAGAAGCGGCTGGAATATGTCCCCCTGAAAGCATCTGCTTCTCATTCAGCCCTACACAGCCTCCAGGTCCTCCTGCATATAAACATTAAGCCCCAGCTCCAGGCAGTCCACTAAGAGATTTCTCTCTTATTCACAGGATAATCCCAGCTATGGTACCTTCCCTGCATCCAGGCTGAGACCTGGGCTCCTGCTCCCAGCTTCTTCTATCTAGCTGCAATTAGCTACCCTCCTCCGTAGGAAGCCTCTATGTGGGCACATGTGTCTGAGGCTGATGACACCCCAACCACGTCCAGCATGCGTTTCATCTCACTGAATGAATCTTAGAATCACAGAAGGGTTTGGGTTGGGAGGGATCTTGGAAGACCATCTAGTCCAACACCCCTACCATGGGCAGGGACACCTTCCACCAGATCAGGTTGCTCAAAGCCCCATCCAGCCTGGCCTTGAACACTTCCAGGGATGGGGCATCCACAGCTTCTCTAGGCAACCTGCTCCACTGTCTCACCACCTTCATCGAAAACCACTTCTTCCTTATGTTCAACCTAAACCTCCCTCGCTCAATTTAAAACCCCTGCCCCCTGTACTGTTGCTACAGGCCTTGGTAAAAAGTCCCTCTCTGTCTTTCTTAGGAGCCCTCTTTATATATTGAAAGGCTGCTATAATGTCTCCCTGGAGCCTTTTCTTCTCCAGGCTCAACAATCCCAACTCTCTCAGTCTGTCCTCACAGCAGAGGGGTTCCAGCCCTCGGACCATTTCCATGGCTGCCTCTGGATTCACTCCAACAGGTCCATGTCCTCCTTGTGCTGGGGACTCCAGAGCTGAACACAGTACTCCATGGGGGGTGCTCACCAGAGTGGAGCAAAGGGGGAGAATCCTCTCCCTCCAGCTGCTGGCCATGCTGCTGGTGATGCACCCAGGACACAGGTGGCTTTCCAGGCTGCGAGCGGACATGGCCAGCTCACGTCCAGTTTTTCACCCACCAGCATCCCTAAATCCTTCTTGGCAGAGCTGCTCTCAATCCCTTCATCCCCAGCCTGTACTGATATCAAGGCTTGCCCTGACTCAGGTGCAGGACCTTGTACTTGGCCTTGTTGAACCTCATGAGGTTCACATGGTCCCACTCCTCCAGCTTGTCAAGGTCCCCCTGGATGGCATGCCTTCCTTCAAGCATACCAACTGCACCACTCAGCTTGGTGTCATCTGCAAACTTGCTGATGGTGCACTCAATCCCACTGTCATGTCATTAATAAAGATATTGAACAGTATCGGCCCCAGTGCAAGACCCCTGAGGGACACCACTCATTACGGATTTCCACTTGGACATTGAGCCATTGACTACACCTCTTTGGATGCGTTCATCCAGCTGATTCCTTATCCACCTAACACTCCATCCATCAAATCTGTATCTCTCCAGTTTTCAGACAAGGATGTTGTGTGGGACCATGGCAAAGGCCTTACGGAAGTCCAGGTAGACAACATCAGTTGCTCTTCCCTTATCCACCAATGAAGTTGCTCCATTGTAAAGGCCACCAGATGAGTCAGGCATGATTTGCCTTTTATGAAGCCATGTTGGCTGTCTCTAATCACCTCCCTGTCATCCATATGCCTTGACATAGTTTCCAGGAGGATCAGCTCTATGATCTTACTGGGCACAGAGGTGTGGCTGACTAGTTGGTAGTTCTCAGGGTCTTCCTTTTTACCATTTTTAAAAATAGGTGTGATGTTTCCCTTTTTCCAGTCACTGGGGACTTCACTTGACTGTCATGACTTTTCAAATATGATGATGACTGTATTTTTCAAGTATGACCTCTCATCATGACTGGCTGTTTATTTGCAACATCATCAATTCTCTACAAACTTGACCTTACTTTTAAAAAAAACCCCGCCTCTTAACAAGGTAACAGAAGCATAACCCAAGCCACTACCAGGAATGTTGTGGCCATCCGTCCATCTGTTAGAAGATTTCAATAAAAACTGACTTTAATTTAGGCTGTGAGACAAGGTTTAAAGAGTTTGGGCATATGGCTCCTATTAAACTGGTCCATTCACAAGGAGTGATCTGTGCAGTGTCATGCATGTCCCACAGGCCAGAGCAGTCCATCTCGCCCAAGACCCACTCACTGCCTGCTGCTTTCCCACGGGGCTTCCAGATGTGGCCAGGGAGAGGGTGGGGGCCTCCCAGCTTGTGCTTGCTCTTGCCTGACATCCTTCCTATAAGCCCCTGCCTTCTTCAGCAGGCTTCACAAGCTAGTGCTGGCAGATAGGATGGACAGAAGTGCCATGGCAGCCTGAAGTCCCCTTCCTTCCTCTGCCCTGTCTCCAAGGAGTTGCAGTTCCAAAGCACCAACCATAAGCCATGAACTGAGCCCCAGGGCACCAAGTCATTCCTCATTTTGAGTGCTGCATGGTGGGACAGGACAGAGCAGATGATCATCTGCTCCTCAAGCTTCGGTAATGAACCAGACCCTCAGCAACTCCTTGTCCCCCGCACAATGGATTTCCAGAACAGTGGCTGTCCCCAGGATGATGCTCTGCTGAGTTGGCAGCAATATCCTCTTGACTTTCCAGAAGCCCCTTTCTCACAAAATGCTTTCAGCCCTACCAAGACAGTGTACCCTGCAATCTTTTCTCAATGGCCAGTGCAGACGTGCGCCCACTACTTTGTACCAACAGGTGTTTGCCAGGCAATGCTGTTACGCCAACCTGCTCCATCACCTCTTGTGATCTCTGTGTGACATGCTGAAAATTGGTCCCCTGTAAAGATCCAGCTGACTTTAACCGATTTATTTTTTTTTTTTTAAGCCTTTGCTCTTTGCTTCCTTTTTCCAAATCAGTGGATGTGAAAGTCTCAGTGGCACACAGACTTGGCATAAGGAGTCTCAGTTCTTGGTGTAATGGTGTTATAAGCTAGGTACTCTGACACTTAAAAAATAATGGAATAGAAACTCCTATTTTTCTCCTAAAAGGAGCTGGGACATCTTTCTCATTTCATCTTTGGGAACTGCAGCAAGTTCTGAGGGTTTATAAAACTGCTGGGTCCAGTTAATCCCAGGTGAAGATGTGCTGCTTGAAGAGATGGAACAGATTAAGGCCCTTCAGCTTGGAAAAGAGATGGTAGTGGAAGTGTGACACAGGTCTGTGAAACCAGACTGGCATTGGGAAGGTGAATAGGAACCAGTTAACTTGCTGTTAACTGTCAAGAACAAGATGGCACTCTGCGAAATTACCCAACACCAAGTTTTACAAAGAAAGTAGTTTTCCACACGTCAACCATGAAACTCACTGCTGTGGACACCCAATGTCTAAATAAGTCTGGAAAAGGCATGGAGGAACTAATGGAGGACAGGTTCCTTGGCGGAACTCTAATGTGCATCCAGCAACAATGCCTGGCTGGGAAACCCCAAAACCACCAAATCCAAGAAGCTGGGTAAAGATACCACAAAAAAGGATATATAAAACCAACTGCCATGCTTCTCTTAGAAATGCAGATTTACAGACATATTTACAGATACACCTACTAAGCCTACCTTCCCGTAGTGAGCTACATACTCTCCTGACTTTAGTAACCACCTTTGCATTCAGTGACATTTTTATTAAACATCAAGAAGCTAACACAAGGAGAATGGCTTCTTCACATATGTGAGCAGTAAGCAGAAGCCCAGGGAAGACATAGGCCCACTGCTAACAAGGGCAGGGAAACCAATTACTAATAATGCTGACATGACAGATGTTCTCAATACCTTCTCTACCTCTGTCTTTACTGGCACAGCTGAACCCTAGATCACAGGAACATGTACCTACAACAATGTATGTGTCCACCCACCAGCAGGGATGGGTGGTCTGTGACCTCCTGCAAAGGTTCAATCCAGATAAATCTATGTTAAGAGAAGTGGCTGACATTGTTGCAAGGCCACCGTCTATAATATTTGAAAAATCGTGGAGATCAGGGGATATCCCTGATTACCAGAAGAGGGCAACTGTCACACCCATCTACAAGGAAGGCTCAAAAGAGGACCCAGAAAACAACAGGTGCATTAGTCTTCAATCCCTGGAAAAGTCATGGAATGAGTCCTCCTAGAAACTTACAAACCAAATGAAGCAGGTGACTGGGAAAAGTCAGCATGGATTTACCAAGGGCAAATCATGCCAGGCTGATATGGTCATCTTCTACAACAAAATAACATCTTCTGTCGACATGGGGAGAGCAGTGGATGTTGTTCAGCTGGATTTCAGCAAAGCATTTGACACTGTTTCCCACAGCCTCCTCCTGTGGGAGGCAAGATACAGACTGGACGAGTGGTCTGCAAAGTGGGTAGGGAGGGAATTGGCTCACAGCCAGCACACGCAGGGTGGTGATCAATGCTTTTTTACTCAGGCTGGCAGCCTGCCACAAGTGGGGTTCCCCAGGGATCGACACTGGGCCCCACATTGTTCAACATCATCATAAACAATTTGGATGATGGGATTGAAAGCAAACCCACCAAGTTTGCTGATGACACCAAACTGGGTGCTGAGGTGGACACATCAGAAGGGAGAGCCATCTTATAGAGACCTGGACGAGCTGGAAGAGTGGGCTAACAAGAACAGTATGAAGTTTAACAAAGACAAGGGTAAGGTCCTGCACCTGGGACGGCATAAACAAAAAGCCCAGTTCAGGCTAGGATCTGTGTGGCTGGGGAGCAGCCTTGCTGAAAGGGAACTGCGAGTCCTGGTGGATAGCAAGCCATACATGATCCAGCAGGGCGCTGCAGCAGCAACGAAGGCAAATTGGATCCTGGGTAGCATCTGCAGGAGCATCACTAGCAGAGACAGATCATCCCACTCTACTCGGTGCTTTTCGGCCGCGCCTGGCATACCGTGTCTTCTGGTCCCCACAAATCAAAAAAGGCATGGACAGACTGGAGAGGGTCCAAAGAAGGGCCATAAAGATGATCAAAGGACTGGAGAACCTGCCGTATGAGGAAAGGCTGATAGAGTTGGGTTTCTTCTCCCTGGAGAAGAGAAGGCTCAGGGGGACCTCATCACAGTATTCCAGTACTTGAAGGGCAGCTACAGAGAGGACAGAGGCTCTCTCTTCACAAGGAGCCACACGGAGAGGACAAGAGGCAACAGGTATGAGTTGCACCAGGAGAGGTTTCACCTCATTATAAGAAAGAAATTTTTTACGGTGAGAACAATCAGTCACGGAACAACCTCCCCAGGGATGTGGTAGAGTCCCCACGGCTAGAGGTTTTCAAGACGTGACTGGAGAGAGTGCTGGATAATCTCATCTAGGCTCCCTTTCCCACAAAAGTTTGGGCCAGATGATCTTTGAAGTCCCTTACAGCCTAGGCTGTTCTATGATTCTAATAAGGATAAGGTCCCATGCTCCTCTGCTCAGTCAGAGGAAAGGCAATGGCAACTTTCGCTAACAGGGACCCACAGCTCTGAGCTGATGTGCTACTAACACTGAGAATCCCAAGTGAAGCAGGAGACAGATGACATTGTACACAATGAGCAGTCAAGTGAATGTGGTTCATCTTTCTAGTCAACGAGCAAGACTCCAACAAGCTTTCCTGAAGTGCTCTCTAAAAAGACCTGTGA